GACGCTCTTTCACGCTCCTTGAAGATATTTCCCCTACCGGATATAACTCTGTTTGCGCATGCCACGCTCCACGACTACAACTTACGCGTCGGTTGTTCCGTTTTCGTTCGATATATCCCCAGTGTGTTCCGCGAAAGGCCGGCGACCTACTTCCGGCAAAGGCGGCGTAGTAACGAAAAAATTTCCCGCGTTCGCTAATGAATCCGCTTTATCGTACAAGGGTACACTCTACGGCTTAATTTCTTGCTCGCCAATCACGAAGAAAATTTCATCGACTACCGATGATCTTTCATCTTTTCTCCCATTTGTTAAGGAGCTGCAATATTTGTGAAAAATTTGTAAAAGCGATATCGTAGAAAGCATATGACACGCATAGTAAGAACAAAATTCCAGGATTATATCGGTAAAATTGGAAAATAACTCGATTCCATTTATCGGAGATATTGACTGTGGTGGCGCTAGTGAGTTAGATGCAAAATCGCTCTACTCGTGAACGGGTTGGTCAAGGCGTCCATTTGTCGTCTGTATAGTAGCTTCGTAGTCTACTAACTGCAAATTGACTATAATCACCAACATCTGGTACTCGCGGTTACTAACAGTTGTTTTAGTCACTCGTTAAAATTTTTCATTGATTCTTAACATTGGTAGAACAAAGTAGATTTGCATTGGGATTGCTCTGAGCCATGATAACCATTAAGTAGAAGTATAACCTAATAGCGTCTCCCTATATATCCCTCGTGACTACGTCGATTCACCTATCTTCGATGCTACGCCACTGAGTGTTGTATTAGTTTCGTGCTTCCACGCGTTGAAGATATACGATATTTTCGAGACTTGAATACATTTTACATAATGTTTCTTGGCACTGTGTTATAGTCTTTTGGACGAATCAGACTTGAGAATAATTAGCGGGGAGAGCAAGTGAACTAATTAATTTAAATAATAAATGAGTATATAAGTACAATCCTATCTACGACTATGGAGACTACTACAATGGCGAGGTTTGATATGTTTGGCTTTCGACTTTACGTTTAACTTCGCGTGACTCACTAACCTTAAGGCGAATTAAAACTTTATACTTGGGGTGTACATCGCGGAATATTCATCCACGAGGAAGACGCGAAGACTGTTTCCAACTGCATTTCTGCATTTCATCCGAAGTGACCAGAGAACAAAGTAGAGACTGTACTTTTGATGAGCTGAATAGGTGATACAACTGTAGTGAAGCGACAGTGACAAGTCTGAAGTTGTAGCAACCAGCGAACAGCCACTCAGATAGCAGACTACGGTTGCTCTCTAATTAATTGTGTTTAGCTCAAAATGTCTTTCCTATGGAAAGATGAAAATCGAGGAAATGAATTCAACCGACTGGTCTATCCAAAGTGCAAATAATCCCACTTTTATCCTCCAAATTTACTATAGATAAATTATCCACAAAATGCAATTGTAAATTCGCCTTTAGAGTCGTGCATTCTATCTTTGTCTCTCCTTCATGAGTGTGCATGCATACACGTTCTTTCCTTCTCTAATACTCTCCAGATATTTCTAAGCACATTTAGTTATACCGATTCAAAATTTGGTCTCAAATACTCTTCAGTCACATCTCCATTTAAGTATACATATTTTATCTTGACCTTTCTATCAATCAATCAGACACTCTTCATTCGTTCACCATAGGTATCATATCATCTTTCCTGTAAAAATAAGTCGAAAATGTGAAATGATAATTTTGGATACGAGATTTCGTTTTCGAGGAAATCAATAATGAAATCCTTCAAGTCTTTCCAGTACACGAGTATTCGAGAGGTAATGGACTAAATTAATACATTAAACTCCAATAATATATTCTTTTGATTAAATTACAAATTGCTAAAAATATTCCTCGTTTTACCTTGAATTAAATATTCCAAGTAATGACTGCGTATAGAACCTCCACCAGTTAAACGTCTGTACTTATTTATAGTTTCATTCTTTTTAGTGTAACTTAACCTCTCAGTACATCCTTAAAATGAAAAATCGAATAAAGTTAAATTTATAATTAAACCAGTTGTTTATAAAAATCACTGAATACATCGTCGTACAGATAAAATTTAGCCAAATAAACGTACCACTACAATCTAGTATATCAATTTGATCCATATCGAATCACAATATTGCCTATGAATACGAATAGAATAGCAATAGGTTTTCAAAAGCACGTGTACTTGATAGAGCTTCATGGTTCGTTCCCACGAAACTTGCCCTACGTTTTCGGCTTACTTCCGTGCGAAAAATTCTTTCGATCTCTACCATAGTATTCGACATGTTCTGCATATTCATCTCCACGATATAACACTCGCCACTGCCACGCGATTATCCCCGCGGTATTTCCTACACGAATTTTTTTCACGGAATCGTGTAATCTCCAGCGAGTTATGCACTATCCATTCGGCTCACACTAGCACTACATACACACGTGGCATAGCAGTTAAAACGTATCTCTTTCCTGGCATATTCACGTTTTGCTTTCATCGCATCACATCGGTCAGCTTTACGCGGCCATACTGAGCTGACGCAACGCGTGGCTACGTGACTAAAAATCGGCAACGCTGTCGCCACCGTCGTTTCGGGAGGTAACGAAATCTAAATCGCGTATCGACGCGGCTCATGTTTTCGCGCGCGTTTCAAATGTCGGACGGTCGTAAGTTCGATATACGGAAATGAGCTTCTAGAATGTTCGTAACCGCGCGTGGCACGCGTCGATCGTTGAACGATAAAGCGATCGTTCGCCAGGTGCATTCGACGCTCGTGCCCCATCGATTTTCTCCCCTCGAAGCTACTTGAAAGTTCTTGGAGAAGGCCGCTCGACGCCACTCTAAATCCCGAAGTTAGTCCATCGAGCTTCTTGGCCGCGATCCGAATACATTTTTCGACGTTTACCCGTGAACGTGCCGGATCCTTCCCATCGATAGCGGTTTGAGTACGTTAGACGTATGTTTTCGCTCCTACCATCGATCCATTGATACGTTATTAAACTCCTGGCCAAGTGGAAAATAGAGATTCGGAGCATACGTATGTAGGTTGTAAGTCAGGCCATTGGCGTAGGAAAAATATTTCGACGGCCAGGACTGAATAACATAAATCGTGATATAAAAAGCTTCGAATTATTCAAAATTATCAGAATACTACTGAAATTATTAGAATCGGATAATATTAAACTTATCAGGTAATATTCGAATGCATAATCCGTAATATGCAGATTTAGACCTAATCATTGTGTCATTTATTTTTCTTCACAGATACAAGCAGCGAATATTGATTGTCAACCGTCGGACTAGAAGAGTACAAGATCGAATAAAAACCTAAAAAATATAAGAATGA